CAAAAACATAAGGGAAGGGGATGAGCAGAGAAAAGAACAATCTTCACTGACCAGATGCATACAGGAGTTGAAGGTACTTTTGTGCTCGCCTCGATTTTCAGGCATCCAAAATGCGTGAATGCTTCCAACGCAGGCTGGTCAGAATATAGCTTCGCCATTTTCTTGTACAGAACGCGCTTTTGAATTTTTCCGCGAACAGGCTCGCATTTGGGTCCACTTCAACTCGCGGCTCATTTTTGCGGGTTTGATTCTCACAAGTGACGCCCCAAACGTGACGTTATGTCGAATTTAAATCATATGTCTTTTAATTTTCTTTCAGTACCAGCGTCCTTCAGAGATAAAGCAAATCCAAATTTCACCATAAAACGGATGTACGACAGTGCCAGGGAAGAGTTTGAACAACTGGAAAGACTCAGAGAGGTTTGTTGTGTACCGCGTTGGCAGTAAAACAAGAAGCTTAACGAAGCTTACAATTCGAAGCACTCTATCTCGATATCTGGGATCTCTTTGTTAGAAACGTCAGGTTGCTTAAAGATGCTCCGTCATGGTTTGTGTATCTTCAAAAGTTGAGCCTAAATTTTTCAAGTTCTTCATTTGAAATCCGTGTTTATCTTCTCCATCTTTAACCATCCTTGTTTGTTTATTGTATATTATCTCTTTGGTGTTTTTCTTTCTTAGTAAACTACCATTTTCAGAATTCCGTCAGTTTAGAGGTAATTTTGTACATGGCCGAAATAACTCAAAATTCTGTGACTGAGCTCCTTTAAGCACACGGGTGTCTGAGCCCCAGGCGTCAATCAAAAGGTTACGTTCTTGCTTTTCTTGCGTTCCGGTCCGTCTCTCAAACCCGTCTGTTCTTAATCTCTTTAACAATAAGATTATGAGTTCGAGATTTCTATCGCGCGATGGTTGACGAGGGCGCAGCCCTCGTCAACTCTCACGCATAAAAATCGAGAGCGAATAATCTAATTGTTTTAGTATAAATCTAGTAGTCGTTCAAAACTTTATCAAATTCCTCTTCACAGACACTTCGAAAACGCCAAGAAGCGGCCGTCATTTCGTTAACAAGGGCACACTGCTACGCTACTCATTATCTATCACAGAATAGATCGTGAATAGCGTAGCCAATCAGAGAATGACATTCGTGATAGAACGCTGGTAGATTTATACTAAAACAGAATAGATAGTGGGTAGCGTAGCCAATCAGAGCACGGCATTCATGATAGAACGTTAGTAGATTTATACTAAATATTATTAGCTTCTTACCTCCCGTGGCCGGGTTGTTCGAAAGCTGATTAACGCTAACCCAGGATTAAAAGTTAAAACCGAAATATTAATTTTTCTTGTATAAAAATATTTTTCAGTGCTTATATTATGTGTAGTATGAGCTTTTTCAAACTTGATACTGAAGGACAAATAACATAGACAGAACCTCACCGCAAAGTTACAAAACTGAAACAAAATTCTCGCTAATCCTGGGTGAGCTTAATTCGGGCATTGAACAACCCGTCCCAGGTGTATTTTGTTTTTCTGAGATATGCGTCAATCCCTTACATTGAACTTGTAATATTTCACGGCGTGAAAATTTCCACTGACTGACCTTCCTCCCCTCCATTTAGCCTTTCACCTCAAACCTCCACGCCTTACTATCACGCTCTTATGAGTGAGACATGGGACGTGAGATCCCCATGTATTTTGTCCCGATTGGTTCAAATCTGGGTAGTTAAACAAACACGAACAGCAAAGCTGAGAGGTAAATCTCTGTAATGCTGAGTCTATTCTGGAAATTTTCAACTCAGCTCGTCTTTTTTTTAAAGATCTTAAATCTGGGATATCCTTCTCGGGAGTGATATCATATTGAGCTTCTCAATATTATATAGGTTAGGTTAGCACCCCTACCACTATTTCGTATGACATTGGAAATTCTTCTTCTCGTCTAACTCTGGGGTGAAATAAAGTTTTCTTGTTGTTGTTGTTGTTGTTGTTGTTGTTGTGCCAGTCGTGTACACAATATCATTCTCAACAAGTTGTTTTCTTCTTTCTCTTTCATCGTAGGGTATCGAAAGTCGTCTTAAGGTGTCATTACCAGATGATCTGCCGGCATCACTCTCCGACGGTGTTGTGTTGTGCCACCTTATTAATCACATCAGGAAAGGACTGATTCCCAGCATTCATATTCCGTCGGCAGGAGTGGTGAGAATAGACAAGAATCATTCATCATATATTGCAGATTCTCAAACTGATTGGCTAACAGATCAACTGTAGTGATGTACTGTTCGGAATTTTGTCATAATTATCTGATTATGCTGAAATATAGATGATTTGTTAAGCTGTTAAGTAGAAATAACGCGCGATATTTATAGCTACGAATTTTGTCGAGTTAGTCAGTGAATATTTGCCGTGGAAACCCGAAGCCCAGGTGCAATACATAACTTGTTTTTTGAAAATCTTCAATCAGTTGGATAGTAACACAGCATTCACATCGAAATACAGCGATACTTCACAAAGATACTTCGCAAAGGCGATACTTCAAGTTTTCGTAGAGCTGTACTGTATGTGCTTTTATTTTGGACACTTATTCAGTGATTGATCACTTTTGTTTGCCTTACAGCCCAAACTTACCATGCCGAAATGTCAGAAAAACGTGGATTATTTTCTTGAGGCTTGTAGAAAGCTAGGCGTGAACAAGGTATGCCGGCTGTACATTGACTGTTTACACAGGATAATGCTAGAAATTTAACAGTTAACTATGCTGATTTCTTTTCTTAATACACTTTATAGTAGGTCATTTACGAACTATCTTAAGCCTCTTTCTCAAAGCGAGTCCTGGTACCCATTGGTGCCCATCCTCTCATATGAAAATGAGATTTCATTCATATGCAAATTAAACTCGTTTTCATATGAATGGTTGTGCACCGGGCCTCACTTTGATAGAGAGGCTTAGGTCAACTCGGACACGGGCTATTAGATAGAATTCTGAACGCGGTCTTATAGGCAATAGTGTTGGGGTACAAAACTTGGGAAAACCGTTTTCTTTTTTTTATTAAAATATATATATATATTTTTGTAGTTGCAGATAAAGCAGATAAAGCGCATTGTAGATGAAAAATATAGAAAACACGCACCACCTTCAGCTGGTGCTTTCTAAATTTTTCTCGTGACCTCAAATAGGCCATATTCGCATTCTCGGTTTTGGAGTGGAACTAGCTTGCAAAAGAGATTATTTTCATTGGCATTTGAAAAGACTCCGCGCATTAACCTAGTTGCAAGCTAGTTTCAGTCCAATACCGGGAATACGAATATGGCCTATTTCTACCGTGTTTTATTGTTCGAAAAACTGATTTTATTTTGTTATTTTGTAGGAGAAACTCTGTACGCCATCCGATATTCTGGAGGAGAAAAGTCCATTACGTGTGTGCCAGACGGTAGAATCATTACTAGAGCACGTTGACGGAGGCGTATAACACAGAAAGTATACACAGTAAAATAACAAGTGTCATGATTCCAAATCTTTAACGTCAAGGCGATTTATCCATTGATTGCCGTAAAAAATATATTTAAAAGACGAAAAGTAAAATCTTCCTTTGGTTCTTGCTGAAAATAGGACAAATACATTATTGATACATGTACAAAGAAATATGATCTGGTTTAGGTTAGGAGGAATGCAGTTTAGCGTAAAACGTGCAGTGTTGACCAACATTTCATCACGTTATAGTAGAAACGAATGTGGACTGGAGATTCCCTTGATTTCTCTTTTATAGGTACTCTCATCAAAGTATTGAATTGTTTTGCTCCATTCCGTGCCTGCAAAATGTGCTGTACAGCAGTTTTGAAACTTTAGGTAGTCCTCAGTCTAGGAGACTGGGTTCTAGAGAGTGGGTCTCCCACGTCCAGGAGATTGGTTTCTAGTGGCTACTAAGTCAAACAGTGGAACTAAAAAGTCCCTTGGATAAATCATTGAGAATTAATTACGTCTATGTTATATGACACTTATGATTATTATTTTTTATCTAAACTGAGTAGCATACACGCACCATGTCCATTTTGTGGGAGGGAAAAATGATAAGCTTGACCTCTGCGCAATCTAAGTCTGCCCGTGGAAATAGAATAGAAGATACTTATCAAAAACTGCCCCGTATATGCCTTTTATTTTCGAGAACCTTTGTTTAAAGTAGTTTTCTGATTAACATAAGCACTTCAGTCTCTGATAGAGCTACGAAACTCTCAAATCTAAATATTGAAAAGGTATGGCATGATTAGATTAATTCCATGAAATTTGAACCCGCTGTGAATACACTTTTTGTGTCACGCGGGTTGAAAAACTGAATGTATTAAATACAATAATAAATCTCGTGAAGGATTATCAAACTTAATTTTGTAGTAAATGTGAAAACGGCACAAAAAATATCACCCCAGAATAAAATGCTTTTCTCAAATACGAATCGCGTACATTTTAAATGAAGAAGCAAAAACCCAGGGGGTAAAATGGCCGCGTCCCAATTTTCGTACGTACATTTTTACCACTCGTCGATTAGCGATGAGTTGGAGACTGCTTGCAGTCTAGTATGCAGGGCTTTCCCTGCTGTCACGTGACGTCGCAATTATTACCGCTGACCGACTCAATTCCAGGACCTTAGTTGTACTTATCTCGCGGTACAAGTAGCCAGTTGAGGTCTGGACAGTGGAATGTCTTTCACCAAGATTTTTCTATAAACAAAGAGATGGCCATAGCAGAAAGAATTATCGTTGCTGAATATTCTTGTATTACTTTAAATTTAAATACTAGACAACTCTGAACTATTGTTAACTCCTATTAAAAATGTGTTTCTTTGAATAATGATTTGAATCCAAGCCATCAGTGTAAATTTTTTTTCTAAATTTTGATAATAACTATTTGATTATTCAGACAGACACTAACGACAATAAAACTCAGGTTTCAGCCTCTCTTTTTAGCTGTGTTTATCGTTTTTTGTTTGTTTTGTTTTTGTTTTTTTTCTTTTTTTTTTGTTTATGGTTCATATATTAGCAAAATGGTCCTGGTCTAAAACGAAAAGAGCATTCTTTTTTATTGAAGTGGATAGAAGTAACTACATATTTATTGATAAATTCAGAATCACTCGATATACATGAGCAAGACTTCCGTGATATTTTCTCAGCAAAAGTTCTCATTTGTTATCGTGATAGCTTCGGACATTTTTCCTTTTGCTTATGACGGAAACGAAGGATACCGTGAAAACCCGCTGTAAAAACTTATTCGTTTAAGAACCTCCAAA